CATAGGGAAATGTAAATCAAAACAACTCTGAGATACCATCTTACTCCTGTCAGAATGGCCAAAATCATAAACACCAATGACAGTTTATGCTGGAGAGGATGTGGAGAAAGGGGACCACTTCTCCACTGCTGGTGGGAGTGCCAACTTGTACAGCCACTTTGGAAATCAGTATGGTGACTACACAAGAAAATGGGAATCAGTCTACCACAAGATCCAGCAATTCCACTCTTAGGCATATACCCAAAAGAAGCACATTCATACAAGAAGGACATCTGTTCAACGATGTTCATAAGAGCACTACTTGTAATATGCAGAAACTGGAAGCAGCTAAGCTGCCCCTCAACTGAAGAATGGATAGAGAAAATGTGGTACATTTACACAATGGAGTACTACTCAGCAGATAAAAACAATGGAATCTTGAAATTTGCAGGAAAATAGAGAAATCAGGCACAAGGGAAAGGTCTGGAGATCTACAAAGATGACACCAGCTAACAATGTAAGCAACAGAGGAGAGGCTACCTTACATGCCCTCCCCTGATAATGAGATTGATGACTGACTTATATGCCATCCTAGAGTCCTCATCCAGCAGCTGGTGGAAGTAGAAGCAGACACCTAAAACTTATCACTGAACTGAACTGGAACCCAGATGCAGAGAAGGACGAGTGAAGAGCAAAGGGGTCCAGACCAGGCTGGTGAAACCCACAGAAACAACTGACCTGAACATCGGGGAACTCTTGCTCCCCAGACTGATAGCTGAGAAACCAGCATGGGACTGATCCAGACCCCAGGAACATGGATTTCAGTGAGGAAACCTCGGAAATCTACAGGACCTCCTGCAGTAGTTCAGTACTTATCCCTACCCTAGGTGTGGACTTTGGGAGCCCATTCCACATAGAGGAATACAGGGGTGGGCCTAGGCCCTATCCCAAAGGATATGATAGACTCTGATGATCCCCTATGGAAGGCCTCACCATCCAGGGGGAGCAGAAAGGGTATGTGATAGGTAGGGTTTTAGTTGGGGGCGGGGTGGTAGGGGAGTACAGGAGAGAGAAGGGAACTGGGATTGTAAAACAATCTTGTTTCTAATTCAAATAAAAAAATTTGAAAAAAAAGTTTAAAGGTAGTCAATAGAATTCTGTAGCATTCGCTACCCCCCTTTGCTATATTTTGTATCTTTGAATTATTGGCAAGAATCATGGTGTGCTATTTTTGGTTCCTAGATTCCAAATTTCAGATGCATGTATACAGCGTGGAGTAACTAGAGAAACCAAGACAGTTTAAAGGGACCATGGGGGAGGGGCGGTGCCAAGATGTGAACAGGGAGGTAGAGGTGAGGTGAATTGATGGGGGAGGGCCCGGCTCACTGTGAGTGGTGGCACATCTGGGCAGGTGTCTCTAGGTTATATAAGACAGCAAGATGAACAAGCCAATAAGTATTAATCCTCATGGCCTCCGCCTCAGTTCCCGGCCTTGAGTTCCTGTGCTGACTTCCCTTCCTGATGGACTGAGTGTAAACCGCAAACTGGAATAAACCATTCCCTCCCCAAGTTGCTTTGGTCGTGATGTTTATCACAGCAACAGAAACTGTAACTAAGACTCTCTCTCTTTGTAGTTTGGTGTGTGAAGTAGTGGGGGTGGGCACATGTTCAACTGCACCTGGATTTTGCAGGAGTGCTAGCAATTTGAACTCAGATCGTCATGCTGGGCAGCATCACTCTTACCCACAGAGCCATCTCTGCAGCCCACCACACTTCTCTCATCTTGAAGATCTGCATTATATCAGTATATTAATATACTTACTCCCCAGACCTCTGAGGCAGTAACATCACCCTCCTGGGACGGCTGAAGAGCCTGAGGCTCCAAGAAGTTATAGTGATCAGCTCGGCTAGGGGAAGAACTGGGGTGCACACCCAAGTCTGACATGAAGTCCAAGCTTTTCTCCTGATACAGGTGGAGACTCTGGTGACCATGTGACCCTGCTACTGTGAAGCTATATGGTTTGGAGTAGTTCCTTCCCCTCTCTAGCCATTGGCTTTTTCATGCTCTGAGGTGAGAAAGCCAGCCATATCAGGATCATGGCAGTCAGAGTTAGGGCAGAGGAACCAGGAGAGACATTTGGACTGATACCATTAGAGCTGGCTTCAAACCCAGACTTTCAACCTTCTCTGAGAAAGTTATGCTACATCATACTGAACACAATGGCTGCTTTAAAAGAAGTCACTAGGACTGGGCAGTGGTAGCTCCCGGGGATAAAGGCAGGTAGGTGGATTTCTGGGAGTTCAAGGCCAGCCTGGTCTATAGAGCAAGTTCCAGGACAGCCAGGCTGTTATACAGAGAAACCCTGTCTCAAAAACCAAACAAACAAAAAAAAAATAAAATAAGACATCCAACATGAACTCACTGACCACTGCCTTGGTGACTCTGTGCTCTGACTAGTCTTGGTTGTTGACTTGACTACATCTAGAATTAACTAAAACCTAAGAGGCTAGGTCCTTTGTGAGTATTTTTCCGAGACAGAGTTTCTCTGTATAGCTTTGGAGCCTGTTCTGGAATTCACTCTGTAGATCAGGCTGGCCTCAAACTCATGGAGATCTACCTGCTTCTGCCTCCCAAGTGTTGGGATTAAAGGCTTGTGCCATTACTGCTCAGGGAGCAATTTTTCTTTTTCTTTTTAAGATTTTATTTATTTATTATGTATACAACATTCTGCTTCCATGTATATCTGCACACCAGAAGAGCGCACCAGATCTCATCACGGATGGTTGTGAGCCAGATGTGGTTGCTGGAAATTGAACTCAGGATCTCTGGAAGAGCAGTCAGTGCTCTTAACCTCTGAGCCATCTCTCCAGCCTCTGAGAGCAATTTTTCTTGATGGAATCATTTGAATCAGGAAGACCCACTGTAAGTCCCACTTAAGGTGGGAAATCCATCTTATGTCAGGCAGACTGTATAAAGGACCTGAAAGGAGGAAGCACTTGCTCTTTGCCTGTTTGTGCTCACTCTCACTGGCAAGTCCATCTCTTCACTGTCATTGCAGCCTATATCTTTAGGATTCCAGTGTATACTGAAGACCAGCTGAAATCCAGCCTCACAGACTGAAAAACTACTAGATTCTTGGGCTTCCTATCCAGAGACACTCATTGCTGGAATAGTCAGACTACAGCCTGTAAGCTACTCTAATGAATTATATATATTTATTCAGTTCTGTTTCTCTAGAGAACCCTGGCTAATTGACTAATACACTCTGGGAATTCATCTTATGTATGTATACCATAATAATCTTGTGACACTCAAGGCCTTCACTTGCTGTTTTTATCATCAGTGGCGTCTAATCACTTTCAGCTCCACTTGGGGGCCTATCTTTATTTTTAAAACTCCAAAACTTCATCAAGAAGGGCCAGTGTCCTACTTCCCTACCTTCTCCAAAGTCCCCTCACAGCCCTGGGACTCACATGGAAGTACTTCTTTTTAACAAACTTGGTGACTCCAAAGGCCGATGCCTCCATCAGCACCATCACAGCCAGCTGCACCAAGTTGGCCTTCCCAAGGACAGCAACTGCTGAGATGAGCACAGGCACTGTGCTCATGGTACCTTTCTGGATGCTGGGGGGAGGGATGATGGAGGGAGAGGAGGGAGAGAGAGAGAGAGAGAGAGAGAGAATGACCTCCTGAATCAGGACTATTGGTCAAAATGCCATTCAGAGTGCACAAATTCTTTTTATTTTTTTTAATTAGGGAGGCTCAGAGGCTCAGAGCCTCTACTACAAATGTCACTGTGATTCAAAGTGGCCGCTTCTCCCTCAGGGATGTGACTGTCTGAATTCTACCCCAAACCCCACACTTTTCTGCTGTTGCCACTCTCAGATGCACCACAGGGGGCGGTCTGCACCTGCCAGCCTGCCACGGTCCTAATTTCTCTTCTCCACGTGGAGCCTGGGTTTGGCAGTTTGAAAGTAGAATAAACCTGGTTTCCCATCCCAGCTCTACCACCCAAGCAACTACTTAATCCCATAAAGCATGGGATTAAGACTGACCATATTGGGGGGGCTGGAGAGATGGCTCAGAAGAGCACCGGCTGCTCTTCCAGAGGTCCTGAGTTCAATTCCCAGCAACCACATGATAGCTCACAACCATCCGTAATGAGATCTGGTGCCCTCTTCTGGCCTGCAGGGAGGGACACATGCAGACAAGAACACTGTCCACATAATAAATAAATCAAAAAAAATCTGAAAAAAAAAAATGACCATATTGCCGGGCAGTGGTGGTGCACGCCCTTAATCCTAGCACTCGGGAGGCAGAAGCAGGTAGATCTCTGTGAGTTCCAGACCAGCCTGGTCTACAAGAGCGAGCTCTAGGACAGCCTCCAAAACCACAGAGAAACCCTGTCTCAAAAAAACAAAACAAAACAAAACAAACAAAAAGAATGACCATATTTGTTTCCCTGCGCTGGGGTAGGGGTTAGAAGGAAATCTAAGTGTATCTATCTAAGGCAAAGACCTAAGGACATTCATGAATGGAGGCTGGCATCGTGAAGACTTTTGAACCCTTCCTCCTCTGGACAAATGTGCAGGCTCAGTGTGGAGATTTGGGTGGAGAAAACCCCTTTTTTGATTTTGTTTTTGTTTTTTGTTTTTGGAGACAGGGTTTAAAGGCTTGTGCCACCACTGCCCAGTTAATAAATACATTTTTAAAAAAGTACACCCATGGAACCTGGTGTGTGACTCAGTTGGCACAAAGCCCTTCGCCTGATCCCCAGTACCACATAAATCAGGTGTGATAGTGCACACCTGTTATCTCGGCACTCAGAAGGTGGAGGCAGGAGGATCAGAAGTCCAAGGCCAACCTCAGCTACAGAGTGAATTTGGGACCTGTCCATGTTATATGAGCCTAAGAAGCAAAAAAAAAAAAAAAAAAAAAAAAAAAAAAACAACAAATCACCAATGGTTGGGTTGGGGCTGGGGCTCAGGCGCAGAGCGCTTGCTTAGCATTTGCTAGGTCCTGGTTTGATTCCCAACACCAGGTTTGTGGGGTGGTGGACATCACTCACTGAAAGACCCTTTTGTTTTCATTTTTATCCCAGTGAGCATTTATCAAGTTCTTATTGTGCGAGCGATTCCACAGGCCTCTGCCTACAAGGACTCATTTGGAACCCATTTGGTACCAAGCCAAGTAGCCCATGTTTGAGTCAGGCCACTGGGAGAGGGAGTGGTCTCTGTCCTTAATTCAGGGAGCAGGGCAGGCAAAGCCCACTAGTCCAGCCCGGCCTGACAGGCAGCTGGGTGCCACTGTTCAACCCTGAAAAGCAGGTGCCTCAGCTGGGAGGATCCAAATGGCTTTTGGTAGGATGGCAGCTGGGTAGCAGGGAGGGACAACAGGTCCCTGTGGACATCACAGGGAGCAGTCCTGAAATGGCTCTGTTCCAGTTTGTTTGTGTGCCAAAGGCTAATATCTATGTGACCTTAAACCAAGGTAGCAGAAGCCTCCTCAGCCCATGGCTGCCACTGTGAGAACCCCCAGGGTGTTGTTTGACACAACCTGGGGGGTATGAAATCCCCCACAGGCAGGAGCTCAAAGCCTTTAGAAAAGTTATTTTTAAAGATGGGTTGTTTCCTAGCCCAGGCTGGCCTCAGACTCACTGTGTAGCTGAGGGTGACCTTGAACTCTGATCTTCCTGCTTCCTGCCTCCTCCAAAGCACTGGGATTACAGAGTGAGCCATAATGTCCAGTTTTTTGCAATGTTGGGAATAGAACCCAGGGCTTTATTATGCACGTTAGGCAAGCACACTACTAACTCAACTGCATTTCCTCAGCCCTCTAAAACATTTGAAAAGGAATGGACCATATCACATGACTGCTCTCGAGTGTATGGGGAGGCTGGAAGGAAGTTAAAATCCTGTGACCTGAGGGGCATGACCCCAGCCACGTGTCTTACCCTCTGTGAGGCTTTATTTCCTTACCTGTATATGAGCTTGGACCTTGATCCAGCCAACAAAATTTTCTCAAGGAAAATGCCACCCAGTTCATTCTATCAAGTATTTAATGTCCCTTTAAAGTAGTGTAAAGTCCCACAAGAACTGTCTGTCTGCCATCTATCTGTGATGGCTAGTTTAGAATCACTTTTTAAGAGGGAACACTTATTGAGGAATTGTCTCCATCAGATTGGCCTGTGGGCATTTTCTTAATTGCTAGTTGACGTGGGAAGACCCAGCTCATTGTGGGAGGCCCTGCTGGTACTAACCCAGACAAAAAGGGACACGGCAGGAGGAAGCTCATTTGCTTTTGCCCGCCCAGCCTTCCCTCCTGCCACAGAAGAGATCCACCCTGCTTCTGCTGATTCCTTTGCTGATAGAAGAACCAGCATTTCCAGACTTCCACTGTGGACCAACCGCTCTCCAGGACTGAGCAAGGACCGGGTTGTCCTCCACTGGCGTGTGACAGCCATTGGACACCAGTGTGTGACACCAGTTGGGAGTACACCAACTGGTGGGGCACCCTGTCTCAAGGATCAAGTAGCTACCATCCTCTCTGCCTCTCAGTGTGGGGCAAGTTATTGTTATTGTTGTTTTAAAGACCGGGTTTTTCTGTGTAGCTCTGGCTTTCCTGGAACTCACTCTGGAGACCAGACTGGCCTCAAACCCAGACATCATCTGCCTCTGCCTCCCCTAGTGCTGGGATTAAAGGTGTGTGACACTGCGTCCCGGGTCTATTAGTATTATTTTAATGTAAGCTAATTCAATAAATGCTTTTATGAATATACATATGTGTGTGCATATGTATAGTATACACATAATCATCCTATTGGTTCTGTTCCTCTAGAGAACCTGACTAATCTGTATCTATCTGTCAGTCATCTCATCTTTACTCCTCAACTGTCACTTATCAATCTGATTTTCCCTTATATAAACGTCATCCCAGTTAACACAGAGAATGTGTACAGGCTAGCTCTGCCAGTTTGTACCATCTCATTTAAATACGTCTACATGGATCGCTGTTGATTTAAAGAAAATAAAAGAATGATCATTTCCTGTCTACCAAGCATCTCAGACTGAGTTGTCCTCCTTTCCTCCTCCTGTTCTCTCTCCTCCCTCTCCTCATCTTCCTGGTTCCCCTTCCTCTCTCTCCTCTCCCCCTCTGCCTCTTCCTCCTCCTCTTTTTGCTTTCTCCTTGCAGGCTGGGCATGGAACCCAGGGCTGTTGCACATGCTAGGCAACTGAATCACCACGAAGCCACATGGTCAGTCCACCCTTGTTATCCTTTAAGATACTGCCTCTCTGGGCAACAGTGCTGTTTTCTCTTTTGTTTTGCGTCTACTCTTTTTCTTAATTTTTCTACTAGCTTGTGTTCATTGTATGACTTTATATAATCAGACTCATTAATAGCAAAACAGGAAGGATCAGGGGAGGGCTATAGCTCCAGATGCCTGGGGTACCACAGAGTTGGAACGCCCAGTAGGATCCAATTAAATTAGATTTTTGTATAAACAATGAAAATCTTCTAGAAAAAGTGTGTCCCGAGTATTTTTTGATGTCAGAGCTAGAACAAGAGATGCCCTGATCTTCTAGAACCTTCTCTCTCTGCATTCTAAGCACCCAAAACAACCCAGCTGCTTTCAGTTACCTCAACAGATTGATGGCCACATCCTCTTTGAAGAGCTGGTTCTGGAAATGGTCCAGCAAGATTGACCCCTGCACCCCGAGGGCCAACATGAAGAGGTTGAAGGCTACACTGCTCCAGCTGTGTCTCCGAAAAGATGAGGAAAGGAAGCCGAAGCCCAAGGCTGCCATGAGGGTCAAATCCTGGATGACTGTGAAAAGGGACAGAGGAGTGGGTGAAGACCAAGGGAGAATGTGTGAGAATTGGGCAGAACGGCCACTGGAAGGGACATGTGGGAGCATTTACAGGAACTATGGAGTTATGACTACTGAGCACACAGGGCTGAGGTAGGTAGATGAGGAAAAGCTGGTAAAGTGCTCCAGGCAGATGGAAAGCACAGGAAATGGGCACACTTATGAGGGATAAACACTCTGATGTGGACAAGTGCGGTATCAGGGTGCCTGCTTGGCCCATCACTGGCCTTCAGTGAAGGGATTTGCTCTGGGACTGTGGGCAGATTTCCACACTGGTTATACACACAGCCTCAGCAGCTCAGCAGTCCAGGTGAGACAGAAAAAGAGAAGACAGGTGTAGCCCCAGAGTTCCTGTGGCACAAGCCAACTCATCTTCCTAAGAAGCAGGTGGTGCAGGTGAGATGGGTCAGTGAAAAAAGTTACTAGTCAGCCTGGCAGTGGTGGTGCACACCTTTAATCCCAGCACTAGGGAGGCAGAGGCAGGTGGATCTCTGTGAGTTTGAAGCCAGCCTGGTCTACAGAGCAAGTTCCAGGACAGGCTCCAAAGCTACACAGAGAAACCCTGTCTTGAAAAAAACAAACAAACAAAAAAACCCAAGTGTATTGCAGAGGATTTGGAGAGACTGGTCACATTCTAGCTGTGTGATTTGATCTGGAACTCAGCCTCTCTGAGCTTTAGAGGAACCCATGCTGAAGGGACCAGCTTCCCTTTTGGCAGCCATAATGGCAGAACACGTGCTTCTATGACCTTGTCCTAGACACTAGAAAGTCAGATGCCTGCCTCATGACAAAAACCAATCAGAAGTTAGCTGGTGGCGCTATGCTTTACGACCCTGGGTGTGCTTTGCGGACAAGCGCTCAGCAATGATGTAGAGAGCATAGCAACCACCCTGGGAGGGCCTATGGGCCATAACAACCAGTTGACCAATCAACACAGGGCAAGCCCTCCAAGCCTGGGGGCACACCAATCGTGAGCCTGTGTGTACCCCTAGACACTCCCCTTACACTGTCCTATAAGATCTCTTGGGAGGCCCTAGGAGCCATCTTTTGCTAGCCATCCGCCATGGCGGGTGGGTGAAAGACCCGAGCTAACATGGGGTTAGCTCGTTGAATTACAATAAAGCCTCGTGCAGTTTGCAACAAGCTCTCGAATCCGCCTGGTGATTGGGGTGACCGAGAACGTGGTCTGGGACCCCGGATACTTGAGTTTTCGGGGGGTCTAACAATGCGAACAGTCAGTGATGCTCATATTGACCGGCAACCTGATTGGACTGAGAGATGCCCAGGAGAACAGCCAAATGTCTCTACACAACTAACAATGTCTTGGCTCTGGGCTGCTCCTTGATGCTCCTCTCAGCTTCCATGAGGTGAGCATCCCTGCTCCAGTGTGTCTTCCCCCTTGATGTTCTGTCTTGCCATATCCCGGAAACAAAGGAAGCCAGCTGCCCACAAACTCAAAGGTGATCTTTTCCCCTTTAAACTGTTCCTTTCAGGTAATAGCCACAGCAATGAAGAAGTCCAACCTAAGTGGATAGCTTTACGTCAACTGTTTCCTGTCCTCCTTACACCTGCCCTGCTGGCCCATGTTCATAAATGTGGAACCCACCACAAGGAGGAGCTAAGCGACCTCCTCCTGCGGAGTGGAGAGTGGGGCCTCACCACAGACCATTGGTTGGAGGCTTCCCCAGCTTCCACACCTCCCTCTTCTGGTTCCCATCCGTGTAATGAGACAGTTCCACCTCTGCATCAGAGTCCTAAGATGAAAATGGGACGATGCGGGCTGGAGAGACGGCTCAGCGAATAAGAGCACTAGCTACACTTCTAGAGGTCCTGAGTTCAATTCCCAGCAACCACATGGTGGCTCACAACCATCCGTTATGAGATCCGGTGCCCTCTTCTGTCCTGCAGGCATACATGCACACAGAACACTGTATACATAATAAATAAATCTCAAAAAAAAAAAAAAAGGAGAAAAAAGAAAATGGGATGTGCCAGGAAAGGCTGCTCTACCAGCAGACACCGACCGTTTCCCACATGGGTGATGCCTGCACAGGTTTCCCCCACCTTGACAGTTGTGTGGGGGAATGCCAGGAAGGAGGGAGACAGCTTGAGCACAAAAAGCCATCAGATAGTGCCCGCTTGTCCCTCTGCTTATAATTCCGTGGATATTGCCACAAGCCTCTATGGTGAGCTGGCTCAGAATTCCAAAGCCCCTGGATGGCAGTATATGTTTGCCTTCACCTCTGACCTCATGCACAGTCTTTAAAATGCCACCCAGGACAGTCACAAAGATCAGAGAGGCCCTCCCTAATGGCCACACCCAAGCTTCTTCCTAAAGAATGCTCTCTGCACAGCTGTCTTGTCCCTAGAGCAGTGGGTCAGGCCTTTCTGTCTTCAGGGAGGGAGGCCAGATACCCCTCTTGCTAGTAGGGCTGTTCCCCCACAGTTCCAAAGGGAGTCAGAGCCTGGCTGTGGTTCTCAGCAGGCTCTACAGAGACCTTCCGATTCATGGCATCAGATATCTCCATATTGGGCCCCTGGTGTCTTTGAACTTGACATTGGCATCAGCTGTCCAGTCCCCAGTCTCCAATCACACTAAGGGCAGCAATGAAGGAGGCAAGCCCCTCAGAATCCAAGCTGCTGGGTCCCAAAGAAACCCCAGGACAAAAGGCTCACTGAGGTACCTATTAACGTAACAAAGCAGAGGCTGGCTCAGTACCTTCTGCTCCTCTTTGCTCTTCTTAGCCCTCCCCCTCCCCTAAACCTCTCCAGCCCAGGGGTTTCCTTTCCCTTCCTCCAGCTTCTCTCTCCTATATAACCCTGACATTTTGTGTTTTCTTGGGTCTCTTGCTCTCATCTTCTTTTGCCCTCTTGGCTCGCTCCATCCCCTTGCCCCCCTCTCTCTTCTCTTCCTCTCTCACTCTCCCCATCTCTCTCTCTCTCTTCTCATGGTCTGGTTCAGTTTGGACCCTTGCTGATGCCTCTGGCTGTACTCTCCCTCATATCTACAATAAAAACCTTCTCCTTCTATACCTTGGGTTGGTCATGTCCTCATTGTCAATCACAGACCATCTGCTATGGAATCACCACACCTGATGGCCGTTACTGGATAGCCTCAGTATAAATGGTGTGCTGGCCATTCCAGTCTTCTGTGCGGATGAACATGATCACAGGCAGAGCCCTGTGACATGACAAATGGCTCAATTGCACTTTTGGCCGTTTCTTTCCCAAATCCTAGCCAGTAGAAGTCCAAAGAATGGAATTTCCGGTGAGACATATTTTCCCACCTTTTGTGCACAGTGAGAGATTTCCAAACGAGGGGATTCCGGCCAATGTGATGGGAAGGGCACTATTGAAGCTGTTTCTGTCCAGGGCCTGGCATGTGGAGAGAGCTATTTACCAATCAATCACCACAGGAGGAAATCATTTGCCTCAGGTCTCAGTCCTGGCTCTGCATACAAGGTGGACACTCTCACTACCACAAAGTTTCCTTGGCGTCAGAGACCAAAGAAACTGACTTCCATTGGAGAAGACCTCCCTTCCCCCACTCTCTGGCATAGGCCTTCAATGGGTGGTGACACCCCTGGGATGCAGGAGGGGGCCAAGGATCAAGGACGGTCTTAGGATCTGGTGCCTGGAGTGTTAGCATTCAGGAGGCTGCAGCATCTCCCCTGAAGTGTGAGGAAAGCTGGGGTGGTGGGGTTCCTTCTCCCCTGTCCATCTTTGTGGTGAGGTGAGGTGTGATTGACAATGAGGCTATGGGGTGAGGTGAGGAACATGGCATCCATGGCCCATCCCTCTTGGGATGGTTCATATTCCTCAGGAGCCAAGAAGGAAATATGTGTATGAAGGTACATACGGTGTACATTTGGGAATGAGAACTGTGGCCAACTGAAAACCACACTCCTCCTGGAAATACTACAATTCAGCCTTTCATTGCACACTGCTCTTAAACACAACCTGTCTGCTACTTTGCAGCAATGCTGTATGCACAGGAGGCAGAGTCCCTGCGGGTTGGGAGGGGACTACCTGAGTGAGCTTTCTCAGGGCCACACAGCACACCTGTAGTGAGCTCAGCTCTGAACTGGTACAGAACATCCTTCTGCCAAGGAGGCAGTCTCTAGCTCTGGTTTTCATCTCATCATGCTGATGGGTCTCAGGCAAGTCTTTTGCTCTTTCTGAGCCTCAGTTTCCCTCCCCGGAAACCATAAGCTTGGGCTTGATACTGTGCCCTTACAGCCCTGGGATGTCTGAAGATGAGGTTGGGGATGGGAAGAGGGTAGAGTTGAGCCTGAAGGTTAGAAAATGAAGGGATGCAGTGGGGCGAGGCGTTTCCTGGCCAGCTGCCACCAATTCCAGGTATAGGGCTCCTGGCCTTCCGCCTGAGGCCTCACAACGTCCCTGAGGAAGGAACTGGGGTTTCAGGCTGGAAGAGACTCAGCGTAGTAGTTTCCAGTTTCGCTGTTTCAGGAACCTGTGCAGTCCAGCTCGTTAGCATAACATCTGGCCTTCCCGACCCCCACCCTGCCTGCCCTTCTTCTCATTTCCTCTCCAGCCTCCTGAGGCTCCAGGCTCAGACTCTCTCTTCTCAGGGCTGACTCCCACCCCTTTCCACCCCCACCCCAGAACTGAGTCCCACTCAGAAGCTCAGAGCACCTCCATGGGCGTCAGTCTTGGCCTCTCAGAGCAACTCTGCTCTGGGGCTGATAAACTACTTGACTGCAAGATGTTTGGCATGATAAGGAGCTGGGAGCACTGGGTGGCAGGAGGAGTTTCACCGCCTGAGGCGGGCCTTCTGGGATGTAAGAAAGACGACTGACCGACCTATGGACCTACCGACCTACCGTGGAGCCCAGAAGTGAGGCAAGGGGGGCAGTCCCCAGCATCCTCAGGACCAGACCCACTTCCCAGCCTCAGCCTGTGAGAATCACTATTTGTCTTTCCTATTTGACAATGGAGGAAGAGAGGCACAGAGGCTGCTGTGAGCAGCACAGGTCACACAGCTGGTATCTGAACTCCACACCCTCTTGCCTTGTCCTACTCGAGTGTGACCTCTGAGTTTGCACATCAGGGCTAAGGCCTGGTTCTCTCTGTGTGCCTCAGCTTCCTAATCTGTAAAATGGGTAGTGGCACCTGCTCCCTGGCTCCTGCAAGGTTTGGTGCTGTGAGGAGAGCACCCATACCTGCCATACATGACAGGTATTAATTACTTTGCATGGCAATTCCCTCTTTGTGCCTGTGCATTTGGATAACTGCAGGTCAGCCCCTGAATTCTTCTACACAGACCTTTTCTCCTTTCCCCTTCCGGTCCTGCCCACCCACTCTTGCCCCTCCTAATAGCGTGAGGGAACAAGACTCAGGGGAGGAACTCTACAGCCGTGGAGGCCGTAGCAGTCTGTGCCATCTCCTTGTTCAGATTCTCTGCTCCCTCCTATCCCACCATCACCCCAGCAGCTGGAGAAGAGAAATGGAGATTCCCTGAGATGGAGGGTGTGGAGTACTCACTCACCACTGGGAAACCCCTCTTCTTTTCCCATAGCCCCTTTCCCTGCCCCTGAGGAGAGTGCTGGGGGACGGGGCTGATAAGTAGTTTACAAAGCAAAAGGCCCAAGAGATAGTTCCCCAGTTTGGCATCCCTAGGAAGGGCTGTCTGTGGTAAACTGTTCCAGTAATGGCCCTAGTGAAGCATGCCTCTGAATGTCGGCTGCTTCTACATGAGTTTGATCTTGTCTCTAGAGAATGGGGTATCAGTAGACATTTCACCGGCACCTCCACTCTGCTCTCACTCGATGCTGGAATGCCTCTGCTGCAATGTGATGTCTGGGCTGACCTGATGCTCCCAACTAGCACTATCTGCCTGCCATGGGGAAATGAGGCCAGGAGGAGCCATCTTGCCCTGTCTAAAAGGTAATAGAAAGTAATACACACTGCTTTTTATCCAGTCACATGTCTGTAGCACACACACACACACTCACATACACACACACACACAGACACACAGACACATACA